GAAAAATCCACACGCCTCAAATAAGAATTTCTAGTAAGACAGATGCTCATTACCAAAGAATGATTAAAAGCAAAAAAAAAAAAAAAAAAAATCAGTGTGACTGTGCATCTCAAACAGCCTGGACAACAATTCTATTACTCCAAGCAGGGTTGCAGCTCAAATGAAAACAAAACTGGGATGAACCATTAAATGCACTACGAAATCCTGCCTTCTCCTTCCTCCACATCCCCTCCTATTTCAGGCCAGCACAAGAATCTGCAGTGACACATGATAAACCAATGAGAAAACTGACCCAGACATAAAAGCTAATCTTGTGGTTCACACTCCAGCTAAATAGGACCCTGGTGCAGTTTGCTGTGCAGCCACTGCTTAGAATCACAGAATTTTGTAGGTTGGGACCTTTCAGATCACCTTTGTGCCAGCACAGCACAGGGGAGAGAACTTGCTTATACCCAACCATCTAGTCACTACCGAAGGGAAAAAGAACTTTTTTCAGAGCGATGCCAATTCTTAACATGCAACATATCCTCACTTAAAAACAAGTAATAAAAAAATGCATCCGGTCCACAAGACTACAGTAAAAGCTATAATTGGGTGAGTGTTATTTTAATGTTTTCAATTAAAAGTCTGATGAGGACATAGAGGGATTTGGAAGATGCTTTGAGGATTTATAATCATCCATGTTGCATTATTTGGAAGTCCTGTGAAAGACATGGAATCCTGTTCTGTAACCAACAGTGAGGCTGTTTTTAGATTTCCCAGACAGTTATACCACTCTATAACTGTCATTGTAGAATGATCAATCAGTTAGTTACAAACATTAATATTTAGAACCTAATTAAAATTTTAAAATGTTTGTTTTCCTGTTATTTTGGAACAAACTAGAAACTTTCCCATAAAGAAATGTGACATACCATGATCCTTAAGTGAGTCATCCAGAAGCTGATGGACAGTCTTAAGAGCAAGTATTTCTTATCCTCAACAAGGGTTTCAGGGTGAGTGCCCTCAAGGCTTTGGATCTGTTGCCTAACCAGACAAAAGCTTTCTGTCATGGCATTTTTCTACTTTGGGGCCAGCTGCTGCTGGGACATGAGGGCCTATGATCCTACAGATGTTCTGCAGCAGCAACACCAGCTTAAGCAACCCTCAAGTCCTCCACTGTCCAGCTGTTTGTTTCTGTCCCTAGACTGCCCCTTCTCCAACTGCAGAATCAGTTTAGTTGAAAACCAGCCATTCTTTCTGGGTATTCAGCAAAATCAATTCCTCGACCTACTCCCTTGCCAGCTACACACAGAGCTGTGTTACCATAATCCAGGGGCAACAGTGAGCTCTCAGGAGCCAGGAATGCTCAAATTATGTTGCTATAAAGCACAGAACCACTGCCTCAACAATACAAGCATGGACCACAGCACTAGGGACAAAATGGAGCTGCTCAAAAGAAACATTACACACTACTTCTAACTAATTACACACTACTATGTAAATAATCTTCATCCCTTTCTGACTTCTGGAGGCATCTAAGAAACTTTCATTTCAGATAGACAAACATGGCAGAATCAATTTTGTGCAACTGATAAGATTAAAAAAATATAGCAAATAAAAGTTTTTGGAAAAATATTATCTTTATCAAACCTGCAAACTACAAAGACTAAATTGCTCTGCGACTTCTACATGGTAACTTTATAGGTGCATCCTCTTGTCATCCTAACACCATATCACAGTAAACACACAGTAAACCTGATTAGCTTATTCCTTGGTGAAAAAAGTATTCTACTTTGCATTTACCATATGACAAAATTACTTATAGAAACGTCTTGTAAAGCTGCTTGTCCAGAATCACTGAAGGA